TTATTAAGTATGAAGAAGATTTTATTTATATCTAATGTGCTATCGTAAAATGAGATTGAACTGACAATTTTGATATCGCACCGATTTTCCGTTGCATTGTTGAACTGCGGCTGCGGCTGTGGCACATAATCAGATGACCCGTAATTTTTAGGGCCGCCCTGGTCGTATCATCATGTAGAAAAGCAGACCTCCTGAACACAGACCAACACTCTCCCAAAAGTGGCCTTTCCGCCAACCACTTATCTTACACGTGTGTTGAACACGGAAGGTTTGCACGTAAACCTTGGGGCGTTAGCATTCCAGCATCCTGTCTGTCTGGCCAAGTTATCCGTCTTGTCGTGTTGAACTCCAAGGTAGGGTTTGGCGATCCCCGTGCAACAAAAGTGGCGCGTGTACATTGTAAACAGAAATTAAAATTGTAATACTTAACGTTATAACTTTTACGAGTACCAAGGGAAAAGGGCGGCACAGTTTTTTAAGCGTATTAAATACATAATTATTTGCATAACAGAACGCGTCAAATTTATTGTCTGGAGGACCCTATCGTTATGTACATGACGAAAATTACGTTTTGATACATTTCGACTAAAAATAGTGACTTTTTTGATGCATCCCTTCCTAAAATCCGAAATTAATATACATAGTAAAGAACTGCATTAGAGTCCGGAATGGGCCACCCGGGTTAGGCCTGATAAAATACCGGGCTCATAGAAATAGCTATATATAGTTAAAATTTTAAAATTTTCCGAAGAAATTCTTTATGGTGCCACGGTGAGGCTGACCACATGACTCACGAGAGATAGACACATGGCGCATTTAGTGTACTACAAGAACTCTGGTAATTTTCAACTCTACCGATACTTACTTATAACCGTCTGAAAAATAATCGTAAACTTTAAATGTTATCTAACAAAGTTAACTGCTCACGAAATTTTAGTACGAAGGGGAAAAAAAACAAAACTCTTTAAACTTTATTCCTATTATACAAAACTTTTTTAAGACATGTATTGCATGCGTTGGTTCATCCCTCTACTACTACTACCTTTTCCGAACGCACCACCTTTCTTTGTACTGGTTTTTTTGATTTCATACTTTTTACATCAGAGACCATGGTAAGAAAATAAAAAAAAAAAAGAAATATATTTTACATAATTTATAATATTTTGCTTTTTATTTGATCTTAAAACACCTTTAATCAACTTCTAACCAATTAAACAAATTGTAATTTTTATTTTTTACGACCTTTTTTTTAAAAAAAGCGTGTATTGTACAATACTTCTTTTAGCACTTTTTTTCAGTACGTGTTATTGGGGTCAAGGTCGTTGTTGGTTAGATACGAATAGGGTTACGACTCAAACTTTTTTTTTGAATTATGACATTACTTCGTAGTTCGAATTTGTGGAAATCTGAATTTCCACTCCATTTGGGATGATAAAAATCAAAACCCAATGATATATCCTATTTCGACCAACAGTGTCAAACTCAAAAACCAATCAAACATGTTAAATCAATGCTACAAATTATTAAGACTTCAAGAACCTAAGAATGATTTAACGACTAAACAGGATATATTGAATAAAATGTTGTATTAGGTCTAAAATAATTATATAGAATATGTACACAAATACATTGGCGATCAAAAATAATGCTGCAAGAAGAAAGAATTGGTTAGATTGTATTAATTTACGTAATTCTGGACGTATATATATATATATTTTTTATTTTTTTTTTATTTGTAAATAGTTTTCACATATAAAATTTTAAAAGTATTAATGGTCCAAAATTTTTTTCATGGGCAGAACTTTATTACAAATATATACGTAGCATGTTGTAACATTTGCTCATTTTAAACAACACGAATATAAAATAATAAATTTTTTTATAAAAAAATAATATTTCATATTTTACATATACAGTATTCATTATTATTTGCAAGAAATAAAATCAAATTAATATAAGTAATCATTTGTCATTTGAATTGTTTCAGAATATTTACTCCATCCATCACAATATAAGTAATCATTTGTCATTTGAGTTGTTTCAGGTTATTTACTCCATCCATCAATGAGATCAAAACTTACGAAATTATTTTCTTTATTGGAAAAATTTAAAAGTCCAGTGGGTATTCCAAATTTCTGTCAATTACACCGTATTGGATTTATAGAGCTCTAATCAAAAACCTTAACGTTAATGCTAATTAAAATATTTAATACATCCTTTACATATTATAATAATATAAGAAGTATATACCAAAAAAAAAACTTTTTTGTAATGATCAAGCTTATGCGTGAATTATTTTCAATTATCATATAAGAAATCAATCTGCCGATTTTGAGAAAAAAAAAATCGACCATCTAAGCTGAAAAATAGGTTTTGACCGATTTTTTTTTCATTATCTGTTATTGGCCGGGATAGCTATGTCGTACTTAATCATTAATCGCATCCTGCGGTACAACACCTTGATTTTCTGTTAAACTACTTTCTACGATATAAGTGTAAGGACCAGATTTTCGTCTGTCCGTAGTCTCGTAGGCAATAAAAAGATTACAACGTGGACAATATAGTCGATATTGTTTTTCATATCCATCAGCCCTTAAAGAACAAAATTTGATGAAATTATTAGATGATAAAATATTACAAAAAAATTTTAACGAAACGTACCTTTTCAGAATAACTGGTGTTTCCGATTCAACTGCATTCAATTTATACACTCGCTTTCCATTTGCAATAATATGAGCTCTATCTGTGGTACGACGAGGTAATTTATCTAGTCGAGCATCTTTTGGTAACAATTATAAAATAAATTTTCAAAATAAAAAATAAAAAATAAATATAAATATATATGATATATAAACACCTATAACCAAAATAAATTCACTGCATAGACAGTAGTAAACATTAAGATGTTGTTCTGGGCGTGTATTTGTCTGTTCGGAGGACGAGACTATAGAACTTGAAACAATTTTTGGCATGCTTAGCAAAATAGAAATTAAATTTTTGACGACCATGCATATATATTTTTGGATCAAATTAGTCACGTGTCGATAAATATTGTTTTATATAGTTTCCAAATCGAAGTAATTTTGACTTTGCTTAAAAAAATCCAACCTACTACGTATATATCTACTTTTATAATGGTCTGCGCAAAGTGTACGCTAATTTCACACTGCCATTTGTTATTAATTTATTAATGAATTTAAATAATTACATATATAATTTATCTTTTTTCAGGTGAAAAGAAGTTGGCTAAAGTTATTTGTCCGGACAAATGGAAAGAAGGTTCAAGAAATGTAGCAGGTATGCACGATCTTTGTTAATTCTCCGCGATCTTTGCCGATCCTCACTTCTCACAAAATTTCTTAAATTTATTTTATTTTTTTGATAAGTTGGCACAGACAGAAAGCTTCATGAGAACAAATTATTAAGTAAACCCGGTAAAAGTCGGTAAGTAGATTTTTTTTTATTATTTTACTCTGTTTTAATTTCTACCTACATTTATTAATAATATTTTATTAAAAGGTTTAAACCATATGAAAATAAGTGCAAAGTTTGCAAATCTCGAGTACATCAGGAGCATGCGCATTATTGCCAAAGTAAATATTTTTACATTTTAATTTTTAATATCAAAGCTATGTACTTAATTATCTTAATCTATAACAGGTTGTGCATACAAACAAGGGATATGTGCTATGTGTGGAAAACAGATTCTTGATACAACAATGTACAAGCAAAGTGCCAAATAATATTGCGACCCAAACTTTCTTTTTGAACTATAACATTACTACATAGTTTGGGTTTTGGACTCACGGTTTCAACTTCATCTACTTCATTGGAAACAATTATCAAAATCAAAAAAATACATTTCCCATTTTTAGTCAATAATGCCAAATTCAAAAACCAGACAACTTTGTTAAATTAAGAATATAAACTAATCAAACTTCCTATTTTCATTTTCAGATTAAGGAAATTAATTGATTTAACGACTAGACTAGACAGGATATATAAATAAAAGCGATACAGTATGTTAGGTCTAATAGTTACATCGAAATACCTGTACACAAGAAATGAAAAAAAAACAATTATGAAAGTGAAAGCTTTCACATTCAAATAAAGACTTTGAATAGTGAATAAAATAAACTTTTCGACAAAGTTTCTTTTGAGATTCGAGTTATCCGTGACATAGTAAGAATCATGATTCAATTGATTCAATTCCCAATTTTGAACCATGGCCAGAAAGCCTCCCTCCAAGATAATTTAAACTAAAAAAAAAAGAGTATTATATACTACAGCATACTATTAGCATTATTAATTAATAATTGAATAAAAGGAATAAGTTTCTGAGCTTACATAGCTTATATTCTGGTACGTAGAAATTCGTCTTTCAACTTTAATATTTAAGCCCTACTTTATCAAATATGATCGACACTATGGCATTCAGCACTATATAACATCGAAATTTTCGCTAAAGGATCTCTTATGCATAAGCTTTTAATATTGGCTAACCGGCTATTAGTGCTCCTAACGGGGTCATAACTCATATACCAAATTTATTATAACTAGATCAGTTTCTGACAGGGACCTGTGGATTTTGTGATATAAT